AAAAGAAAGAGAAGGAGACAGATGAATAGGGTGACAGAGAGACAGAGAGAGAGAGAGTCATGCATAGCTCTTTTAACTTACTCACATGCCATTTGCTTGTACTTTGTATGAAATTTTAGGAATATTTCATAACAAGAATTATGCTTTAGTGTGTGTGTGTGTGTGTGTGTGTGTGTGTGTGTTTGCTGGCTGATGTACCCTAAAAGATGGTATGATGGTTTTTAGCAGGTGTTTGAACAGAAGAGAAGTCCCTCAATTTGAACAGCTATGATAACATTTGCACAGACACCAGAGGCAGAAAACATGACAAGATCTCTATTTCATTTAGCTGCCAGTGAGGCTGTTGTGAGCACAATCCCACCAAACTCCCACAAATGCTGTAATTTCAAGGGCCCAGGCCCTAGGGTATCTATAACTTCGGCGCTCTCTTTCATTTTCTCTTGCCGCTGCCTGCTGCCTGCCGCCTGTTCCTGTTGTCGTGTCGTATCGCATGTTTTGTCAGACGAAGTGGCTATGCAAAGACAAGCAAGTCACAACAACAGCAGCAGCGGCAGCAGCAGCAGCAACAACAACGAGAGCAACGCCAACCACAAGAACAACGACAGCAAAAGCGTTGCACAAAAATGTTGTCAATCAAGGTAGGAAGATAACAGGCGACAAAGGCAAGGCACAAGTCTAAGCTCTTAAATTGCCCTCGACAGCGGTGGAAAATGTTTCTTGATTATATACACACACGCATATATGTACTCGTATGTACAGGTATAACACAAAACAAATTAAGCGTAACCCTCGAAATTCCTAATATGAAAACTATTTTCTTATGAGATGAGAAAAGTTTGCAATAATTTCATAGCTCTCTTTTATGGAGGAAAGACTCTCCTTTGGAACTTGCGAATTTTTCGTTGGCACTGGAATTTTGGAATTCAATAAAACAAAAGGATTGTGCAAGCGAATAGTATTTAAATATGCATGGCATGCAAGTGGGAAACCAAAGATCAATGGATTCTTATTTGGCAGGAATTAATACTCCGTTTCTTGGTGCTGCATCGCCTGAAAATGCAGCATAAGTGGGGACGTACATTAAAAACATAATGGGGTTTATTTTTGTTGCCCAGCGTAATTTGCATAATGATAAACACGAGAAATTGGACCACTCGTAAATCACTTATTGCTTATTAATTGGATCGACACACACACGTACTGCATATGTATCTGAAGTACAACACAACACGGAAACCATAACCCGGTGCGTGGCGAGTCGAGGCTTTTTATTATGCTTCACTTTCAGTTGTTTCAGTGCGAGTCTTTCCTTTCTTTCACTTCTTCGAGTGTAATCATGCGAGCAATTAAGCTCCACTCGATTGACGCTAATTAATGAGCAGCATTAAAAATTATTATGTGTGAGGCGAAGAACTGGGTGTGGGGAGAGAGAGGTAGGTGTGGCGCAAATATGACGGTTTTATCAAAGAGTGGCTGCGATTGGCACGCCCCACCTCCAGCTTCCAGCTCCACCTCCACACTCAATTTCAATTTTCGTGCCCTGTAATTTGCGTGGATAATTTGTATGCATGGCATGCGTATAGAAGATGCCTCTGCTTTTATCCTCCTGGCGGCTGCTGCTACTCCTGCTACTCCTGTTCGGGGTGCGAGATGAAATAAATTTTGCAGCATCATTTAAGCTTAATTAAGACGCCCCGGCCGCAGGCGATGACGGCCAGGAGCATGGGGCATAGCGGAGGCAGCCACAAACAAGGCAGCACAGCCACCGCCCCCGCCACCCAAATTGCACCCATGCTCTCGACATAAATAAAAGAGTGACTGAGTGGCTGAGTGGTTGAGCGGTTGAGCGGCGGTCGAGTGGCAGCCAGCCATGGCACATGCATATTCGAGCAGGAGCATCATCATCTCAATGCTCATTTGATTTCCAGCCAACTCACGATTGCACGCATTAAATCGCTTAGACAATGTCAAAAGGCATCATTATTCACGGAGCCAGTGGCTGGCAGGCCACGTCCAAAAACCCAAAACCTAGCAACCAATTGGCCCTCGTCATCTCAAATGAGTTGCGGGATAAAGTAGTTAAAGAAGACCTAGAAAGACGTAAAATTGAGGATATCAACATGGAAGGAGACACTAAAAGAAAAGGAGGGTAACTCAATTCCATGCCAATGTTGATTTTTATACCCTGCACTGGAGGAGTATGGAAGGTGCTTGGCATTGCGGTAAAAAGAAAAATCAGAAAAACCAAACCATAAAATACTGGGCTAAGTTCTAGCTCTGAAAAGAGCATACAAAAGTATATGCAAAAAATACTGATAGTTTTGAGAGGGCATATTTTGTATAAATAAAGACCAAATCCAAAATGACTATCAAATGGAGCAAATTAAAGAAGTACTGGGTATCTAATAGTCGAGCCACTCCACTAAATCATTCGCTTTTGTTAATTACCGAGCAGGAAAGCAGACAACGAAATGTAACGATATTTACTATGAAATTCAATGCCATTAAACACAATTAAGTGCGTCGGGCGCCCCGCTCTAACCCCATTTCGACCCCACTAGAACCCCTTCCCCTCATTCGAACCCCCCGCTCAAGGGAAACCAAAATAAGCAGGCAATTATTGTAGGCAGAAGGAGGCTGGGTGAGGCTGAGGCAAAATTCATTGAGCTGCCGGTTCAAAGTGTTGCACATTACGCATCATTTCAGTCAGGCCGTATCATGGTGCAGGGGGCATGTGGCATGTGGCACGAGGCCTGGGGCACCGGCACCACACCCTTTTATAGACAGAGAGAAAAATAAACCAAAAAAGGGGAAGGACGAAAAAAAAATGAATGCCAAAACAAAAGCGTGAAAATTGCAAAAGTTTTCTTAATTGCTCCACGCGGCTCGTCAACGTTGTCGAAAATTAAGGGCAAATATGCAAAGTCATTGTGTGGCAGAATGTGGAAGGAGGGGTGTGGGCAGGAGGAGGAGAAGCAGCAGCAGTGACAGCAGGAGATGGAGTTGATGTGGTGGGTCTGTGTCGTTTTGGGCCTAGCCCACGCAATGATTAAGCCAGACCCACATGGAGGCACAGGGCGTAAGGGCGTCACACATGCTGCAGCGTTCCCATGAGCCCCCAAATGAGGCTCATTCAGTGTGGGCGGCAATCGAATTGGATGTTTCTCCAAAGGCAGTTCTTAAAGGCTGATTTTCCATAGAAAAGATTGCCTTGATGGAGCTTTAAAGGTAGTAACGTACCTTAAATGTGATTTTAATTGGAAAACATTTTTGGTACATTGGAAATATTTAGAAGGAAATTCCTTTGAGGCAAGAAAAGTCAACCAGAGTAGAGAGTAGGTAATGCCAAAGTATAGAGGAAAGGGCAATGAGTTGAATAAAATTAAACTAAGACGTGTCTCTTCTCAATGATAATTCCCCTGCATCTGCATATTCTGCATTAAACGCCACAAATTGCATCCCTTATGGAAATGTAGCTCTTTGTCCCGGAACAAAAGCGACATTAACTCGATCAGGGTTCAGTTAACATGCCAGTAACCAGTGGGTGGGTGGTGGGGTGAGGGGGGTAGCACCACCCATACGAATGCAGTCAGACAGTCGTGTGTGTGGTGGGGCAGCAGATGCCAATAGCAGTGCAGCAGTTTAATTTAAATGCCACATTCGCTCAAATTTCCCAGCACCCGAGGCGACATTAAGCATATTGAGCTTAAGACTCTTCCTCCTCCATCCTTCTGCTCCTCCTCCCCCTCTCTTTCCATTGCCACGCATTCTCTTGTGCATGCAAATGCGAGGCGTCATGGAAGGGAGGCACGAAGGGAGTGCCTGGGCGGCACGGACCTTTTGTTTTATGAAGCTGAAGTTGTGGGCGTGCCCTGCCCTGGGGGGTGAATGGGCGTGTGCATGTAGAAAAACCGTTTTCGAATGAATGCAAGTTTTAATCCTTGAAATATGATTTGAGTGCAAATATTTTGTATAGCCATGAGCTCGACAGTGAAAAGGGTCTGTGGGTCTGTGGCTAGAAATGGAGACTTGCGGTTTCCGTGTGCGTCTGTGAGCTGTGACACAATTCCGCCTGCCATGCGTACGTCTCTGTGTAGGATGTAGGGTGTAGTGTGTGTGTGTGTATGCACTTGTACTTGCCAACCGCAAACACTTCACTCGCTCGAAGGTTGAACGGGCCAGGAGTCGGCAGACCGACAGCCATGGCGAGGCAGAGGCAGACCCCAGCTGCAGCCTCCACGCACAGTGCTGCGAGAGCTATGAATATCATAATAAAATCAGAGAAAATAGGAAATAAAAGCTAGCAGCAGCAACAGCAGTCATCTGGATATATTCTGGAAGAGTTTCAGGTTAAAAACCTCTTCTCTGAGTGCTGGAATTTAGGCAACATTTTTGGCCAGAGCATAGCAGAGCCTCGTTCCACTGTGTTTCCGCAGTGTTTTAAAAACGCATTTGCTTGGACCTTGGCTGGCCATCATTTCATTCCAATTGAGAGTAAAGGCTGCTGACAGCACCTAATGCCATTGCCAGGGGCCACTGGCGCCTTTCACCTTTCAACCGCAGGACGCTTTTAATGAGCAAAGTTTTGTGCGTGGATGCCTAGATATGTAGATGGATGGTTAGTTGGTTGGATGGCTGGACCATGGACCATGGACCATCGACCCAAAGCTATGACGAGTGTCCTGCCACCATGAGTGTTACTCATTCTGAATGAATGCAAATGTCATTTTGTGTGTGGGCAACCATTTCCAGGCATTTGCTGTGGTGTGTGTGTGTGTGTGTGTTGCATGCAACAAAAATTTCTTTCAAACAACTGCACTTTTGGGGTCTCTCTTAAATATTTTTTGTGGTTCACCGCACAAAGATAGAAGCTCTCTCTCGCTCCCATACCCATCGCTATGCATATTCATGGGGCTTAGAAGCATTTGTGTCTATTTGCAGCTTTTGACTTTTTCACACTGAAATTCATTTCATTTTCCTCTCTCTCTCCCTCGTTGCAGATATGACAAATGGCGGCGTGCAGGGCCCCAACGAGGGTTACAACTCGCTGGAAGAGATGATGATGACAACGACAGACAGGGCACAGGCAGCCATGCTACTGCCCACTGCGCCCACTGTCGCCTACACGCATCCCAAATGGATGGAGCCATATTTCGATCCCTCGACGCCGCGCAATGTCACCGCCCTCATGGGCAAGAACGCCTATCTCAGCTGCCGTGTGCGCAATTTGGCCAACAAAACGGTGAGTTTTTTGGCTTAAAGATTCGCCCCACTCTACCCCACTGGGTGGGTGTGTGTGGGTGTCTTTAGGGAGGGGTTACGTGGGGTTTACCCGGGGTTAACAGCGTACTCGTGTCGAAAAGTTTGCTGTCGTGCGTGACGACAACGAGAAGTATATATAGTATGTATGTATATATGTATGTAGTAGTCGCTCTTTGGCATTAAAGTTTTGTGCTGTGCCCAACTTTCGTTTATTCTCCATGCGCGGAATAATTTTTTGCCTGGTTCCCTGGTTCCCTGGTTGCGCCTCCGTCTTTTGATTTCTTGGCTGATTTCCTAACCTGGTCGCAGACGCGTAGACCAAAAATGTAATTCCCCTAGCATGACGGCGAAATTTTTAATTAGTTCTACAACCTACTCCTCTCCTCTCCACTCCTCTGCTGCCTGCCGCCCCGCACTTTGTGTCTGTTTTCGTTTTGAGGCGAGGGCAAGCCGAGAGGCGACTTTCGACTTGGCATTAAGTTGTTTTTGTCTTTGGGAGGGAATTTAGTAATTTCTTTTTGTATTTTCTATTTTTTTTTTGCCGGTTTTTGTTAATTTTTGGCTGTTGTTGTTTTGCTATTGTTTCCTTTGTTTATCTGTTTTAATTGTGCCCCTGCCTCTGTCGCTGCCTCTTCCCCAGCCCCTTCCCCAGCCCTGTCCTGTGCCGCTGTCTCTGTGGAAGACTCCTCTCTGTATGGCACAAAAAAAAAAAACAAAAGGGCAGCCGGAGGCAACCTGCTGCTCCTTCAGCTTAATCTTCAGTTCCCGCTGTCACAAACAGAAACAGAGACAGAAACAGAGCCGTAGGAATCACAAATATTTGCATATGTTTTCGGGGTTCCCGGGGAAACATTTTCAATTTTCTCTGTATATATTTTGTAGAATTTAATTTGGGCGAATGTATCCCGGATCCCAGTGTGAGGCCAATTTGTGTCACTTCTAGTAGGATGCCTGGAACTCATCCGCACTCGTCCTGCTAAATGTGTTTAATGAAATGTATAATTGCGATAACAGTGTCTGTGCCGGGGGGCGGAGGGGCTTAACTTTTTGAATATGCCCAACAAATAGGTTTATGAATAATTAGACAGCCCGAAACGATTAATAAGGGGCATGATAGCAGCATGGCTGGCCCCCAGGAGGGATCGGCACCGGCACCAGGACCTGGACCTCACTCAATCCTATTTGCATATAGATTCTCTCTAGTTTTCGCTGGAAAAAAAAACAAACAAGTAATAGTCGGAGGATGCGTCGGCGTCGGCGTTGGCGCTGCTCAAATGCTCAAATGCCAAAAACCAACAAACTTTCAACACGCTCGCGAGTACTTGACACAAATGCACCAACAGTGGTGGCACTGGCAGCAGTTCTGGCAGGACAGGAAGTGGATCCTGCCGGAGATGGGGCTGCAAATGTAGAGAATGGAAGCTGTGGGGTGGGGTTGGTGTGGGTGTAGAAGCCGCTGCAGGATGCCGTTTGCAGGCGCAACTTTTAATTTCTTGCCAAACAAAAGAGGGACGAGTGGCAGCAGTCGTTGCAGCCCCTGCTAGTGGCACACAAACACACGCACACCCAAGCCCACATCCACATAGTGGCTAACACATACATCAACTGTTCAACCTCAAGTGGGCGGGCCTTTTTGAGCCCTCGTCCATGCCCCTGCTTCTGCCCCTGCCGCTTCCACTTCCCTACTGCCTTCTGTTGCCGCCCTGCAGCACTTTCAATTGCATTTGAGCGCGAAATTATTTAAACAATTTCATGAAATTGCACTCGCCGCACGCGTCAACAGCACTTGGCTCACAGTCCGAGTTGCACGGTCCCAAAAGTTGGGTGCCACCTCCTACCTTCTACCCATCTGCCCACGCCCTCTGTGTGGCTGCTGTACCCCCAGCACTGGGCATGGACTTGCAACTTGAAACGGAATGTCGAGCTGTTGTTGCTGTTGTTGCTGCTGCTGCTGCCTGTTGTGGATGTCGTAGTTGCTGTTCATATGGCCGGGCATGGCTCCAGAGGAGTGTTGCTGCTAATATGCAATGGGAGGCTTTGGCAGTGCATGCGCTGATGGCACTGTGGCAGTGTGGCAGTGCCCAGGGGTGGCTCCATTACATCGCCACATGCAGCACAGCGTGCACTTGTTAATTACGCTTTAATTTGTTGCGTAAAATGTTTGTTTAATGGCAGGGCTGTCGTTGTCGCCACGAGAGCGACTGTGTGTTGTCAAAAGTGCGAGCGACATGTTTTTCTCACTTTTATGCACTCACTCCCCCCGCTGCACGGCAGGACTGCAGGACACAGTCAGCACAGTACTCCTCAGCATATATCTGGTACTTATTGCACTCCCCTCCTGCTCCACCACGTACTCATTGCACCCCATATGCAGTTCACAATACTTGCCCCGAGACCCTCATACCTTTTCTAGTTCCATCCTCATTGTTGGGTGGCGGCCCTTGAAAGTATGCAACAGAATTTCGTATAATTAAACGCACGCACGCATCATGTTGGTGCTCTTCTCTCTCTATGTATGTATGGGTGTGTGTGTGGGTGTGTGTGTTTGTGGCTGTCAAGTGCGATAATTTTGCATTTACATTTGACTTAATAAGTTTACATAAGCCAACGTTAGGTGGGCGTGGCTGGCTGGCAGCCAGCTTACAAAGTTGTCTCTCTGTGCACCGCAAACTACTTAAAAAGTTTGCGATAATTAAGCAAAGCCAAAATATCTCGAGCACTATCCACAGAAGGAGCAGCAGCAGCAGAAGCAGCAGATTCCCTTTAGCCAGTATATCCAGAGATTTGGCAAGTCAAACCAAAGGACTTCCAACAGAATCAAAGTCAGGCGGAACGTGTCACGTTGCGCATACGTCACGTAGTCCCAACCCTCCCCACACTCCCATCACAGATGCAAAACGTTTTTTATTATTTACCCCTTTTTCTGTACGGTGCATCGCAATTTAATCTCTGTAAACCTTGACATTTTATTCGATTTTGATGACACTGCGTCGGCAATTTGTTTTTGTTTTTTTTTTGTTTCAATTGCTGCATTTTTAATGACGCCTTTTATTGGGATTGTCTGGGGATACATCAGGGGTACATCGGCTATAACGAACTCAGCAGGACATACCATAGCTTCCTTGCTGCCCCGCAAGGGTGTCCCGTATGCGTGTCTCATTTAATATTTGGATTATAGCCACACCTGTGATTCAACTGTTTGATGATTCTCGTCGTTCTGTTCTGCTCTCTTCGCATTTTGCAGGTATCGTGGATACGGCACCGCGATATACACATACTGACTGTCGGCTCGTACACCTACACCTCCGATCAGCGGTTTCAGGCCACCCATCACCAGGACACCGACGACTGGACGCTGCAGATAAAGTGGGCCCAGAAGCGTGATGCGGGCATGTACGAGTGCCAGATATCGACGCAGCCGGTTCGCAGCTATTTCGTCCGTCTGAATGTTGTCGGTAAGTAGAGCGGCACGGCACGGCACGGCGCGTCGCGGCGTGGCGTGGCTTGTCTTCGGGGACACGTCTCCAATGGTGTGCTCTGGGTGTCAGCTTCGGTTTCGACTTTAGCCTCATCCTCGGCCTCAGAGCTTCTTCATAAAAAATCAACCATTTGTCGTCGCAAATAACAAAGGACACTCGTTGAACAAAAAAAAAAAAAACAAAAAAACAGACAAGAAAAAAGAAGAGATGGCCATAAGGACAGGCAGTGAAAAACGAAGTTGTTGAACAAATAAATTACACACAGAAAACGAGTGAGCAGCACGCACGGAACACCGAACAGAACACCGAGCAGGGGGGCTACGGGGGGCCAAGGCAATGTCGATGGAGCGTCGAGGGCTTGGTTTTTATACGACAATAATTCCATTTTATCTCGTAGTTTATTATTCCACAGTGCCAGCCCAGTCGACCTCCTACAGCTCCTACAGCTCGTGCTCATGCTCCTGCTCTTACTCCTGTTTGTTCCCCGTTGCTGCTCCTCATTTTAACAGCGTTTTTCATGCACTTCTTTTCTTTTTCCTTTTTCCTTCTTTTATTTTTTGTCTTTTTCCCACCTCTTGCTCTCTATCTTTTTCGGTGTCTCCATTTCGCGTCGACAGTGCCAACGGCTACCATTCTGGGAGGACCTGACCTTCACGTTGATAAAGGCAGCACCATAAATCTCACTTGCACTGTAAAGTTCAGCCCCGAACCACCGGCCTACATCTTCTGGTATCATCACGAGGAGGTAATTAAAGTTTATTGTTACATACCATTCCCCTACCTTTCAGCACTCCATGAATAGTGAGAAGATCCATCCTCTCTGCCCCCTGGCAAATGCTTATGCACGCCCCAGGGGGTGGATAACAATAATTGTCGGACGCGACAACAATTAATCAGTTATCAAAAAAAACTCTATCCACATTTTACACAGTGAATCTTTGCCTTCATTTACTCTGCGATGATGCAATCGCTGGTCCAATCAGTGATGGAAATTTACAATCCAATAAGCAAACGAATGCCAATAATCGAAAACTTCAATCTCTGTGTTCCCTCTGCATTGCTCATACGCCATGCTGGCTGGTGACAGCCGAATTTCTGCACCCCGCTTCGCCTTCGGACGCCACTTGTGTGCGGACCCTCATCAGAGCCGTCCTCTCTGTGGCTTACGGCAAAAGCCGTCAACATTATTTAAACGTCAGCTGTTGTTATTTTAATGAGTGAATCAACGCGTATCGCCCGCCCGCTTATTCGCCGTTCTGCCTGCGCTCTCTCGTCCTTCACACATGCAAATGCAAATGTAAATGCGATGGGGATAAGGAACTGGGTCAATGGCGTTTTGGCGGACAGGTTATGTTTAAATTACCGCCGTGGGTGACAACGAAAAGAAGAGGTTGAGCGAAGAAAGAGAGAGTGAGAGAGAGAGAGAAAAGCTGCAAGAACTTAAGTGGAGGATTTTGGGATCAGTCCATCAGGTGGCCGCATTATCGCTCTTTGCGCTTAGGATTTTTATTGTCATTGTCCTTCGCGATTGCCATCCGGCGGATTCCATCTGCATTTGCAACTGGCAATTAGCTCTGTTGTTCCAAGCTCAGTTAAGCAGGAGAGGAGCATCCACTGCTGGCTAATTGCAGTCCGCTCCACTCCGCGTCCGTAACAGTTGCCCGACACGCTAATTGCAATGCAAAAGCCAAACAAAATATCAACAAAAAAGCAGAGCAGCAGAGGTGCAAAAAAAAAGATGGAATACTCGTATATAAACTTGGTTTCAACATGCTAAATGCGAAGCACACAAATCCCGCTGCTCCTGCTGCGGATCCTCGAGGACTGCTCACTTCTTCTTGCCTGCCACTTGACGCATTTTAATGTATTCCTGGAATTTTCTAATTAAAATCCCAGCAGCTCTGCCGCCGCAATTGTGTGCACTTGGCCACCTGTCCATGTCCATGTCCCTGTTCCCTTTTTCTGTCCCTGCCTGTGTGTGTGTGTGTGTGTGGCCGCAGGAACCTTCACGGGTCCTTGCTGCAGGCTTTGTAATGTCCCGTTCTACCGTGCCGTTTCGTGCAGTGCCGTACCGTGCTCTGCTCTGCTTTACTTTGCACACGGATTATTTACGATCCATGCAAATTTGCTGTTAATTAGTTTAATGGATGGATAAACTCAGTTGATGCACTGCACTCCACTCCACACCACTCCACGCCATGCTGCATGCTCTGTGCTCCGTGCTCCTCGCTCCGCATACTTTTCAGGGACCCACACTCCTCTTCTGGCTGGCCGCAGAGTTTTCCTTGCCGCTGAAATGTTGGCAACACTTTTTGCTCGCACTTCCGCTCGCTAATTGTAATTAACGTGTTACATATTTTCGCCATCGGCATTGCCTAGGTCCTGCCTTCCGCTTCCTGCCACGAAGGCATCGCTTCGACAGGTAATTCCTACCGTGGCATACGTGGCATAAGTGGCATGTCATAGCGTGGAGAATGAGTGTTCTGTAGGATGGACAATCTCTAATCTCTTGAAATGTTTGGCATCGTTTCCCTAGCAGCTGGCAAGCGGCAGGACTTGTGGCATCCACTCGAGGGGCTAAGCTCAGACAACCAAAGCTCCTCGTGCTCAGTGCCCAGTGCTCAGCCCAGCTCAGCTTCAGTTTCAATATTCTCTCGTTCGAGTGGAATTTCAATCTTTTCACTCACCAACGCCTCTCGCATTTCAATGTCAGTCGCCGCCTTCAAGTGACTTTTATGTACTTTTTAGATGGGCAAGAGCGCGCGCCCGTTCAGGCCTTTTACGGCTGTTTTTGTTGTTGTTTGCTTTTACGCTTTTATGCTCGAAATATGTGGTCGATTACTGCGTTGAAAATGCCACATAAATCGGATATATGTATGCGCATTTTCAATGAGCTACAAACCTTTTACACAAATATTTTATTCACTTTTTGCCATTGTTGTGGCACATTCACACATTTCCTTTGTATATTTTGTGTGTCTGTTACTGTGGCAGTCTGGCAATTCCAATCGCCAATCCCCAATCCCAGTACCATAGACAGTCCCATTCCACAGCTGTGGAGAGCCAGCTGCAGTTGTCATGAAAATTGCAAACGGCACGGCATGAATTTTAAAAGCCATCACTGTGGCAAAATGTTTTTTCAATTTATCAAATGACAAACTGCAGATTCGCATTAATTCCGATTCGTTGATTGTCTGCCCTCATGCTCGCTGTTAGCCCATCCCCGCAGCCACCACCGCCCCTCAGTCATTAACTAATTTGTGCCGAATGGAGAAATATTATAATGCAAATATGAAATTTATGCTGGAGTCAGCAGCAATGGCAACGGGGCGGCGGCGTGTACAATATATATCGTGGATATCGTGTGTCTGCTGATAGGCAAAACTTTTCACTTGCCAAAAGTTTCTGCGACAAAAGTTTGTGTCATTTTCATTGTTTTCCTGACTTGCTACCCATTGTGCGGGTGACGGGTACATTGGCCTCTGCGAGCAATAAGACAGGGCCTGGATGCGAATGTGAATAAGTTTGGTTGATGGCTCTGCAATTTCAGGTGAATAGTGAATGAGTTGCCACAGCTATTAGGCATTCGACTATGCATACAATAAATAAATATTATTATTATTCCCATATAAATATTCTACCGCTGATCGGTATCAATTGGTGCAGCTTACCCCACTTTCGCTGCCATATAGTTGTTGATGTCTATATCTATTTGGCCATCGTCATCATTATCAGTGACGCTAACTTCACTGTCATGCCTCAGGCAATCGCAAATGTTGTCGATTAGTTGAGATTAGACGGCGAATTATGCGCGCCCCTCCAATGCAGACAATTTGCCCAAGGGTCAGGCACAGGCACAGGAACGCGAGCACGAGCAGAGCCTGAACCATAGCCCCGGGGCCAAGGGTTGGTTGTCAGGCATCTCATTTCCGTAGTAGTTTAGTTCTTCCTCTTGTTCTTGTTGATTTTCTTCGTTACTGCCAATGTCTTTGCCCTGTCAGCGGCATTATGTGTTAATATCAATTCTTCGCCTGCTCCTTGCTATGCTGAACTGTGGCCTGTGCACAGCTCTGCCTTGTGTTCCCTGCTCTGTCTTTGGCTCTTCTGTATTGGCAAATTATTCCAGTATTTGTTTTTGCCGGAACTTAATATGCATTCAGCTGCTGTTAGTGGCAGTCCTCGGCAACGACAGGCCCGGCCCTACCGTTCAGCACAAATCGATAATCGAACGAGGGAAAGTAATAATCATAATGGGACGCAAGGAGCAGCCCCACTTGATTTGCATGAATTTTGCCGCTCGTCAGGATCTTTGATGTCGGGCCCCAACCCAGAGATGAGCTTTAATCAGGAGAGCAGTCATCAAACTCCAATTAAAATCACAATTTGCAACAGCCCCATTTGTGGCCATCACTCAATGGCAGCTGTTGTCGTGTCCCATGTACTTACTATTAGGAATTTCTTACACCAGCAATTATTTTGCCATTTAAATTAATATTTTACACATTGATGCTAGGAATGAGGAGCCACAACCAAAGAGATATTAAATGACATTTTGGTTTTCCATGATTTATTTTATTTATTGTTGAAAACTAATTGGAAAAACGACACCTGGAATCAGACTTGAAATATTTTCATACATTTTATTTTTATTTTACATGTCCTTAAAGTATTTCAGAAAATGCATTGCTATAGGGGAAATTAGTGAATTGAAAAGCAATGTGCCAAGGGGGAAATACGATGGTTCCTGCCATTTAACGAGCAGCAAGAAATTTGCTGACACCCCCGTCATTGTTTTGTCATTATGTGTACCCGTGTACCTACACAGAGCTTTACCTGTGACACCCCTCTGTTATGTTTATGTTTATTTTGATTTTTCCTAGTGCTACAAGTAAAACTTATTTTTAATGCACTAGTCACAGAAGAGTTATAGTTACAATTACAATATTTACTCTTATTTCTAAACAATATTTACAACCGATTCACACCGCTTTTACACATGGCACTAACCACCCCCCGCTCGCTCTCTCTTACACTTGCAGGTCATTAATTATGATTCATCAAGAGGCGGCGTGTCGGTAATTACCGAAAAGGGCGATGTGACAACCTCATTTCTGCTGATACAGAATGCAGATCTGGCCGATTCGGGCAAATACTCGTGTGCCCCCTCGAATGCAGATGTGGCCAGTGTGCGTGTCCATGTCCTAAATGGTAAGTACAAGCCTCCACTTTTCCCTAACGCAAATAGATGGCCAAAAAGTGTTGCCTGTATTGTGTGTATGCAGTTACGAGTGTAAGCCTTCCCAAACCATGAAAGGGTACGAGTGTTTTGTAGCAGCGTTAACATTTCCCCCCACCAACACCCCTCCCCACACGGCATAAATGAACGGACAAATGTGTCCGCCAGGCATCTATGCTCTGCGATGCCATTTTGTTTGGGTTACGAAGGAAATTTTCCAATGTCCTGGCAGCCCTTTTGCATCTCCATCTGCAGCTGCAGCTGCATCTGCATACATGTATCCGTGACAGGATGCTGCCCAGCGGGATAAAGTTTATGAAGTCGAATGGTAGTGGACCGAGGCTCGATGCAATGCAGATCCACCACTGACCACCGCCTTGACCCACTGAAAGCGAACCCGAAACCCGAAACCCGAAACACGAAACCGAAACAAACCGATGCGAAACCGAACCGAAAGCCACTTCCGATTGCAATTTTCGGCTCATTTCCGCCTGCAGGCAGGCTGGCAGGCGGCAGGCAGGCAGGATGGCCGTGACTCTTTTGCCATTAATAAATTGTGCAGGAACTGTCGCTCGACTGGCCCGTTTAGATTCGCTTGATTTCCACCAGGACAGTGCTCAGTCGGAGCAGCAATTCCTAAAATTTACTCCTGTTGTTCCATTTACGGTTGATGTTTGGATGTGACCCGTGGGGCCATTGGGTCATTTGTATCGTGTTGGGGCCACAAATGAAACACATAATCGCATCAATTATGAGCAAATTAATTAGCACACTGCGGTTAATTGCAGTCAAGTGAGTGGCACCAGACCTGGGCTCCTACTGCTGCCTCAGTGCCACATTCCAGCCCGCTACGCACTCGGCACAAACAAAGACGGATGCCGGCGACATTTACAAATTGCAGGCGGGACTTGTGGCCACTGCCGGAGGCCATGGCAGTGGCAGTGGCAGTAGCAGAGGCAGAGGAATTGTTGCAATTTGCCAGCATAATCGCTGTCGAACGGCGTGGATTTGACACAGTTAAAATAAATTACGTAATTGTAAGGGACAGAAGTACACTGGCAACAATAGGGAGAGCCAAGAGCAGCAGCAGCAGCAGCTATACAATTTTAACTCTGATGGAACTCGGTGGAAGAGTGCGATGTGGATGCGGCTGGGGCTGGGGGCAACAGAGCCAGCAGGATACGGAAATGAAGGGGGCACGTTTTTCAATCATGCTAACAGCACCACAGTGACCCCTGCTCTTTGTTCCACGTTTCCTGTTCCATGCTCCCTGCTCCATGCTCCATGTTCCCTGCTGTCTGCCAGCCAGTCGACAGCCGCAAATGGACCGCAAATGGTAACGTGCGGAAATCCATGCTGTTGCTATTGTAAACGTTTGCCCGCCATTATGCATGAATGCATAGAAATAGAAAACAGCAAAGAGGACAGAGGAGAGCAGACGTCCAAAGAGAGATAAGAGACGGTGGTGGTGCGGGTGCAGGTGCAGGTGCTTCAGTGCTGGAGAGAAACTGCATAGAAAGGGGAGCCCATAGAAGGTTAACAAACAAAATAATGAAGCAACAGTGAACCAAAGGCCGTGGCGCCCTGCAAAAACACACACAAAATGGTCACGGGATATACGTGTTTTCACTCTGCCGCATCCGCTAAATAGTCGCCGGGGAGGGGGGGAGAGTGAGGGCGAGCGATATGCCACGAGTGGAATGTGGGGTTTAGTTTCGATATAAAAGTGCGTTTCGAAACTTTAAATTTTGTGCAGCTTTCCGCAGGAATATATTAGAGCTCGGATTTACATTTAAAGTGAGAGTTTCAGATAGGAACAGATAGATACGATTCTGTTCAATGCTACCCTAGCTGCCCCTTGATCAAAGGAGACCGTAAATTATAGTATATTAATTCCCAAACATTGTGTAAGCATTGTGATGGTAAGAACCATCAGGTTAGACGTAGATTTTCCCTATATTTCCTTCGTTTAGTCAGTGGTGCACACAACACTTCCAACATCTGATAAAATATTCAACATTCAACGAAATATTACGCTGCCCAGCAATAATTTATACATTATATGCCACATTTTTGGAACTTTTTATTGTTTTAAGCGTAATGGCAAATCCATTAGGGTTATTGAAAATCTGTTTCTGTTTTTAAAAGCGGATTAACAAATCCGAAATGTGAGGGAGCGGGTCCCGCTCTGTGTGCTTTTGTTGTTGGGGTTTGTTTCATTTGTTTTCTGCGGTAAAGTGTCCTTCGGATGCACACAAGCACACAAGGGTGTGTTGGCCTGTCCGAGCAACACTGCGGCTTTATGACAGTGAAATCTGGCTAACAGTCAGATAATCCATACATGTTGGATGGAATTCGCAACTAAATTTCGACCTTCGCCTGGTTTTTGGCAACAATGTGCCCGTGTTGGCGACGGAGGCCACTCGAATTGAAGCGTTAATGGCACAAACAAGGGCATCAACAAGCCCCATGCCAGCCATGTTGTGACAGGCAAAGCCAAACGCAGCTCGGACACTCGATGAGCGAGAGTGATTGGGCATGGAGGCCAACTGGTTGGTCCGTCCATTGCCAATTTCTGCTCCGTGTGCCAAGCTATGCATGGTATTCCTTGTGCTGCTGTCCAGCAGCATTGCTGTGGGTCTCTGCTGCCAATTCTGCATCGCATCTCTTCGTTAGCTGTCGGAGTGCCTGATGGCAAGAGTCTGCTGCCTGATGCAGTGGACGGCAGGTTTAAATCAGGTGAACGGAACAAACTGCAACAGTACTGAGATATCTCTCTCTCTCTCTGTCTCCGTCTCTAAGTTTCAATATTTTGAGATATCTGTTGGGTATCAGGGAATGGCTGTAACGAACAGCTGTCAAAAGCAAACTCCGAACGGACACTCGTCCTTATTAGAATTTGCATACCCGAGCCACATTAATTGGGGATATGGAAACCACAATCGGCAACCACTGTGCGCTCGGCCTTGCCTTGCATTGGGCCCGTGGTCCCATTGCTCTGGATGTGCCTGTCAATCAGGGTAAATCAGAGCCTGGAGCTGGGAGCTGGGGCCTGGGCCTGGGCTGGAATGACTAAGCAGGTTGTTTGCTCTATTTTCTGGCAATGATTTGGATGCATTTGCAAACGGCTGCCGTGTCCCAGCTTCTGGCTGCTGGCTGCTCCATAATGAAACTTTGCAAAATCTGTCTGCGTGTCTCCATCTAGAGCAGGCACCATTCAATTATTGTTGGATGCCACTGAAGGAGTGATGGGTGGAGAGGATGCAGGTGCAGGTACAGGTGACTCGTGGCCGGGCATATTGATATTTGGGCGACAGGCAATGGCGCATCCTTCGCAGCTTACACTTGAGAAATCAAACGGAATCCTGCCACGACAAATGTCCGCTGCCAGCTGATCCGCACCAGAGGGACGGCAGGCGGGGGCGTGGGCGTGGGCGGTTGTGGAAGCGTTGGGATAGAAAAGTTCAAGTTTCGATTTATATTTGTCAGCTGAAGTTTCCCTGGCCATTTGTGTGGCTCTTTTGTTGTCCTGCCACTCGTGTGTCCTGTGGCTCGGCTGCCTCGATGCTCATCAAATGGCAAACGAGACGCACGGGCAGATCACGGACCGAAGGTGTGAGAAGTTAAAGCCTTGACCTGCTTTACAGCTTCCCATAGAATGGAGCTATGGCTATCTATGGCCTCCTAATCCTCTGGCTCGCTGCACGTATCGACATCGAAGTCGAAGTGGAAGCCGCTGCGATGTCCTGCCGGCACACACACACACACAACCACCCACCGAAATCCTTTAGTCAAGTTTCGTACTGCAGGGTGGCAGGGTATTTATTCCCCCCTGCCCCCCTGCAATGGTCTGTGCTGCAGATTAGCTTTGTATTTTGTCACAGGAAATTACATTTCGCCTTAAGGATGCCCAGCGCAGGAGGAGTGCAAAAATTTCGTCTCATTGTTTGCGCGTTTGTCTGTATGTGGGAGCGGGAGAGGGATAGGGCAAGTGTAGGAGTGTAGGACCTGATCCTAGGTCCAGCTTCTGTTGCGTGTCCGATTCGCTGGACCAGGTATGCGCCTCTAATCGTGTGTACGTGTACAACTTTCGGCTGTGTGTTGGTGTGGAGCATACAGCAAACTGTCCACCTGCCCGCCAGCCTCATTCAGCTCCATATCCAGCTGCTGCTCCATTAGTTTGTACATTAGAGCTGCAAGTACACACAAAGCCAACACTTCCTGTTTCGTGCGGGGCAGCAGTCGGTGACTGTCTCTGTCTCTGCCCCTGCCTCAGCCTCAGCCTCTGTGTGGGTTCGTGCGATGTGGTGTGTGGTGTGGCATTCCGGCAACAGAATTTAATACAAGCTACAGCAAATTGCACTGGCCAAGTGTGTGTATTTAAATGGCAATGATGCCCTGTCTGTTGATAGGCGCCAGTAAAATACACGAAGAGAAATCTAAAGGCGAGGCCAAGTAGTGGGGCTCTGTTTCCTTAATGTTGCCACCAACCGACGACGCTTTGCCACAGTGCTGCAGATCCCCCTAAAACTATTGCCTGGAAAAACTTTGGCCATAACTTATGATAACATTTCCGTGTGCGAGCACATCTTCCCCTGCAATGGCACACACTTCCACTTACTGCCTTCAGTTCATGCATAGTCAATCCTCAGAGATTGCCGCCGACTAACATAATTTGTGCCATGTTCAACAAGGAAGCAAAGCCGGCTACGAAGACGAAGATGCCCCCAACCGCAGGCACAGGCACAGGCCGGCGGCAGCCAGTGCTCGTACGATACCAGACTTAGCCACAAGCAAAGCTAAAGCTGGCCAGGAGTGAGAGCAGCGGGAGGTGGTAGAACATTGAGCTAGCTCATAAGAGTAGCCCGGGAATAACTCCTTCGCAACGGGTGCGGATGCGGCAGGGGAGCAAACAAATCCTCAGCTAATAATATACGGCTTTTGTTTATTAGATTCATACATTTTCTAGCCA